GGACTGATTTCTCGAACGCGTGCAGAAAGAAAGAACTCAATTTGGTTTCGAACCTCGTTCAGGAGTGAGATTAACACGTGAACGGGTTTAGTGAGTCACGTATGGCTTTGTGGACTGTTTGAAATTGTTCATAAAAGTACTTAGAGGTAGAAGAGTATAAAAAAATATGTTAATGAAAAATTGTCGAACACTGTGCAGGCGAAACATTGGGATTGCGAATATTTTCAATATTCAGTTCTGTTAATTGTCCCGAATATATTTGCAACGCAGTAATTGGACGCAATTTTGATTAATTTGTATTACAATGTCATATAGGAAAATGCATTAGTGGCAAGATGTAATTCTAAAGTACAAAAAATGAACCAATTCTTTTTAACTGATTAAAATACACGCAGTTGCTTATTGAAAACAGGATTAAACACTGTGCAGAGAAACATCTGCGTAATTATTTAAATATGACGAATATGAATATGAATATTCGAAAAGTTCTTTTGTAATATAGTAATTGGACATAATTTCGATGAATTTGTCGTGTGATTAATTTCGACTAATTACAATGTCATACATGAGAATGCATTAAAGTAATTCTAGAACACAATAAACGAGCCAATCTTTTTCAATTAAACAAAATACATCGCTAGAAAGTCGAACTTTCTTAGTGCCTGAATATTTTCGAGAGTGACTATAGACGCATTTTTTCATACTTTTTTAAAGTGTGTAAATTAGAGGCTCTAAAAAAAAATTGAAACATCCTGAAACTACCGGCTAAACTGTCTTCTAAAATACTTCAGTTACACACAGAATTAAAATGGATGAATTCTCGATTTAAAGTGAACGCTTGTTTCATGATTGATGATGATGTTAGGATCCTTTGAAAATGCTACGCGTGCTAACGACATCGGATTTTTATACATGTGAAACTGAGCCGCGGGGGAATACATCGTTCTTTTCATTAATCTTCCAACTAACAATCTAAAAGTAGAAATGGAAAATTTCGAAAATTTTATGCCGAGATGACAAATGAAATTTTTCTTTTTTCCATCTCCATTCATCAGTCCTTCGCGCGTCTTTTTTTTCTACTTCCTCGAGTATGTAGATTCTTACACGAGACATTGGCTAATGGTAATTTGTATCTGTTTCATTTTTCATTAATACATTAACATACGCTTTCCCTGGCGCGTGCATAAATCATTGTACTCCAGCGACAATAACAGAAATCGGAGATTGGAAACGCACCAGGCATCATTAATGTGATTGAATAGTGCTGTCGACAGGGATTGAGAAGTATAAAGTACCAATTCAATCGGCATTCATGCGGGTGGAACCCGTGACAGAGTAACCATCGATCAAGAATTGCGGATAGAAGTTGTTAATTTTATGCGTGCCTCAGTGTCGCGAATTAAAAGAAGCGTGTTAACGTGTATCGCTATCAATTGAATTCACGCTTAAACGTTTTTACAAACAGGCATGATTTATATTACATCTCGTTTCATTTTTAATAATGCAGTATTTATCTCTGCGATTCTTTCTTAACCCTTTCGTGACTGTATTCGATATTTATCTCGACGATCGTTCAATATTTTAACGTGGATCACTATTAATTCAATTCACTCTTAAACGCCTTTATACACAAGCATGACTTACACTACCGGCCAAAAGTTTGGAATCACTGAGCATTGCAATTTACACAAAAATTTCCAGAAAAAAGTCGGCGACTTTGAGAATTTTTTATCATTAAAGAGATAAACTTCAAATCTATAAAAAAATTAGCAGTAGATTTAATATTGATGAAAAGTGGGAGGTGATTCCAAACTTTTGGCCGATAGTGTATATCATAATTCCTTCGGTTTTTAATCGTTCAGTATTTATCTCCACGATTCTTAACCCTTTCGTGGTAATATTCAATATTTATTTTTACGATTTTTAACCCTTTCGTGGTAATATTCAATATTTATTTCTACGATTTTTAACCCTTTCGTGGTAATATTCAATATTTATTTTTACGATTCTTAACCCTTTCGTGACCAAAGTGTCTTTTTTTAAATTTCTGATTTATCTGGGAATCGTCGCATCCACAAAGAATATTAAATTGAGATCAATTTTTGATTGAATACCTAAGTAGGACATATGAGCCCCTCAGGTCACGAACAGATTAAACCAATATCCAACCACGATAACAAACTGACGACATATTGATATTCATGGAAAGTTAGTAGACGTAAATTTCAAAATTTCCAAGCAGAAGATCAAACATAAATAACGATACGAAGCCATAAGAGGAATAATGAAAAACCGTATTTCTAGGGAACACGTATTGCAACTGATAATTCTCCTTCACCATCGATCTTGTAATAGCTAGACTGCGGATTTGTATGCATTTAGATGAAATTCAATGGTATAAAATTGCACAGAATATGAAGAACTACAGAAAATATCTAAATTATTACAATTTTCTACCGAATTTTCTACCTCTTTTACCGTATTCACGAAAACTATAAATTTGCCTAAAAATTCGCAGTCTAGTAATAACCGATAACACCTAAGCAAACAGGGCAAATCTAGACCCGTTCAACCGGACTTGACACGCGGCTACTTGAAGATTTCACTTTCAGTTTACACGTGTGGGCGTTGACAAACAGAACGAGTATATCACACAATGGAATATTGAAATTACTCGTTCAAATGGATACATTATATCTGTCGATTTCACTTGTCGCACTGAAGAATGGTATCTAGTTCAACTTTTAATAGGTCAACGTTATTCAATATCTCTCCTTCTTCTCTAGATTTCTCCATTCTTTCTTATTGAAAATGAATAAAAAATGTGGGACATAATTCTTTTGTACGAGATTTCATTTAGAGGACTTGCTGAATACGCGTTCGTTTGATTGTACCGCGGCCTGAAACGTGTTACAAATCATTTTTCAAAAGAAGGTAGTACGAAGCTTCTACTACGAAGTTTCTGAACAATTAGAATGCGAGAATATAACGTTATCAGTTAATGACACTCAAACTGACGATGCAAATATTTATCTGTGAATATAACAAGTATGATAATTTCAATAATTAATATAAAAGTAAATATGATCATTTTAGCGGAAGTACAATGTTAGTAAAATCGTTACTATGTGCGTTACAGTTAAATTAATTAATCGAAATTTATTTTTTCCAAAAGTTAAACTTCACAAAAAAAAGATTTCACTCTACATTTCTCTCTTCGTCTCGTCTTCGATTCGATTTCTTTATCGATCGTTCGAACTTCGTCGAACAGGACACTAAATAACTCTAACTACACCATTTACAATGCAAGGAAACGGCTCAATAACAATACCATCGGAGTAAAGAAGTGGTAAAACAGGAATCTCTCGTTAAGCTGTCGTTCATTAAAAATTTACAGGTTAATTACCGCGTTGTTACTCGAATAACTGCCGTCGCAACACGGATAACGACGTTAACGAAGGGATTTCGCTATAAAAGCAAAGAAACTCTAATAAAACGATAATCAGCTCGAAGTAGTAAAATTTAGTAATCCTGTTACTCTTCCCTCCTTTTTTTTCCTCCCGTTGATTTCAGGATTGCGTAAAAAAAAAAAAAAAATCGAGTTAAAATGAGTCAGGATCGAAATGTCGACTGTCAACGACGACGTCAATGGCACTTATAAACGCCAAGGTAATAAATCTGAGTGATCTTAATTTTATGGCAGCTTGTAGACATAAATCATGTTAAGATACGATTGAACGAAGGAACCACAAGCAATTGAATTTAAAGATACAACGGCAATAATTGACGTCTAGTAAGAGGTTTTTCGAGCGTACCATTACGAAACACCGTAATGTTCTCCTCATCGAATGATTACGCGACCTTTGCGTTTTAATTACCCTAAACGGCGAACGAGAAAGGGTTTTTTCTCGGATAACTCGAGGACACGGTAGGAGGATGACTTTTACAGACTCTCTCAAATGGTGGGAAGATTAAACGCAGTCGTCAACTGCATCGTTGTACGATGAAAAAAGAAGAAGAAAAAAACGTCGGTACTAACATGGGATCGGCTCTATTCATCGGTGGACTGGGGGACTAATGACGATGAATAATATAGTCTTATCGCGATGTTCGTTTCACATCTTTTTTTTTTTAAGGATCACGTGGAATTTTTCAAACATTCCCGATGAAAACAACTTCTTTTTTTTTTCTGCCTCGGAAATATTCTAGTGACAAATCGATCTGTCACGATTTTCATGGCCGAAAAAGAATTCTAGGACAGCGGCGAAAGGGAGTGCCGACGATTTTTGGTTCGTCACTTTCGACTTTCGCCTGCAGGTAATTCTGATCGAGGAAAGTTCAAATTAAAATGTGTCGTATACGCTTCGTATATAAAAATGTCGAATTAAAATGTACTTTTGAACTGGTCGTTGAAATGGAACTGGTTTTCGAATGAGACATCGATAATTTATCGACACCTGCCGCTGAATTAGCAATATAAAAATTGGCAAACTGGAAAATTTTTGGAACAGAGTGTAGTGGATATCTCAGCTGAACCTGGGGAATCAAGTGGTCGACTTGACATTTAAAATGACGCGCCGCCGTTGTTTGTGAATCTTCGCGAAGCTTTTAAAAGGTGAACAAGATTAGACCAGGTGAAGTCAGTTGCACGGAGCGACGAATTAAGTTGCCGTATTGGCTAATTCTACTCCTAATTAACGTGTTACACAAAAACACGGTATAAGTTGAATGGTATATGGGCTGCAATAAATTAATATAGCAACAGAATGCATTTACTCAGATTTTTTGAAACGTTCATAGGTAAAAATTGTAAAATTTAATGTCCTGTTCATGAAAATGAACGTCAATTTAGGTATAAAATTAGATAAATAATTTACAGCTGCGTGATATCTGTAGTTCTATAGGTAAAAAATATAATAAATTTCTCACACACACAAAAATAATATAGAGGCTGAAGAAATTAATTTATGGATAATTAATTGAAGATTTATGTGTAATAGGTGATTGCCACATCTCTGTTGCAATGCACACAGCAGCAAGGAAGCAGGCAGAGTAGAGAAGTGGTACTGAAAATCAGTGACGAGCAGAAGAGTCAATATCTAAATCAAGACTTTTATTCTAGTGAGTAACTATGGTGAAAATTTTAAATGTTCTTCGTCGTATATTTAAAAAAGTATATCACAATCGTAAGTGTAATATTAATTCTTCCATCAGATGCATATAATTACGGCTATGAGATAAATCCCAATGGGCAGTTCCACCATGAAATACGTGGACCAGACGACATTACATATGGATGTTATGGATACATAGATCCATATGGAAAATTAAGAACAACATTTTACATAAGCGATGGCTGGGGATATCGAGTTGTTCAACCAGGCAAATCGGTTGAACTATTCCTCCACGAACATGAACATCATCATCATGATGACTCGGAGCAACATAATCATGGAGACGACGACCACCATCACCATCATGGTGTAGTTACAGAATGGAAAGACTTATACTTCCCAGAAGTATGTAGACAATTTGATGGAACGGGTACCGGACCAATCTCGGTTCCAGGACCCGGAGCAGGTAAGAACTTAATAAATATGGAATGAATATGAAAGGTGTAATAAAGAATTGAGAATAATTTTAAATTCTAAAAAAGGACCAGGAACAGATGGTTCAAGCAGTGGCGGAACACCTGTACAACCAGGACAACCACAATATCCACCGCAACCACCAGAATATCCTATCAGACCTGGTACGTGCCCTTACAATTAACTGCACGCATTGCAATTATGGAAGAAACTATTACATGGAATAATAGTATTAACCATGAGAAATATTAAAATGAAAATAATTAACTTAAGCTACAATTTCACATACAGGATACCCGGGACAACCTGGAACACCCGGTACACCAGGGAAACCGGGTTACCCTGGACAACCTGGGACACCTGGAATACCAGGAACGCCACCACAACCAGGATATCCTGGATCACCGGGAACACCAGGAACACCACCACAACCAGGATATCCCGGAACACCTGGCACACCTGGAACACCAGGAACACCACCGCAACCAGGATATCCTGGCACACCAGGAATACCAGGGAAACCGGGATACCCTGGAACGCCAGGAGTACCAGGAACACCACCACAACCAGGATATCCCGGAACACCTGGCACACCTGGAACACCAGGAACACCACCGCAACCAGGATATCCTGGCACACCAGGAATACCAGGGAAACCGGGATACCCTGGCACGCCAGGAGTACCAGGAACACCACCGCAACCAGGATATCCTGGCACACCAGGAATACCAGGGAAACCGGGATACCCTGGCACGCCAGGAGTACCAGGAACACCACCACAGCCTGGATATCCAGGAACACCTGGAACGCCACCACAGCCCGGATATCCAGGAACACCAGGAAAGCCGGGACACCCTGGAACACCTGGGACACCAGGAATACCAGGAACGCCACCACAGCCTGGATATCCAGGAATACCAGGAAAGCCGGGATACCCTGGAACACCTGGGACACCAGGAGTACCAGGAACGCCACCGCAGCCCGGATATCCAGGAACACCTGGAACGCCAGGAGTACCAGGAAAACCACCACAACCTGGATATCCAGGAACACCAGGAATACCAGGGAAGCCGGGATACCCTGGAACACCTGGGACGCCAGGAGTACCAGGAACGCCACCACAGCCAGGATATCCAGGAAAGCCAGGATACCCTGGAACACCTGGGACACCAGGAGTACCAGGAACGCCACCACAGCCAGGATATCCAGGAAAGCCAGGATACCCTGGAACACCTGGGACACCAGGAGTACCAGGAACGCCACCGCAGCCCGGATATCCTGGAACACCTGGAACGCCAGGAGTACCAGGAAAACCACCACAGCCTGGATATCCAGGAACACCAGGAATACCAGGGAAGCCGGGATACCCAGGAAAACCTGGGACGCCAGGAGTACCAGGAAAACCATCACAGCCTGGATATCCAGGAACACCTGGAACGCCACCACAGCCTGGATATCCAGGAACACCTGGAACGCCATCGCAGCCTGGATATCCCGGAACACCAGGAAAGCCGGGATACCCTGGAACACCTGGGACACCAGGAGTACCAGGAACTCCACCGCAGCCCGGATATCCTGGAACACCTGGAACGCCAGGAGTACCCGGAACACCACCGCAGCCAGGGTATCCAGGAACACCAGGAATACCAGGGAAGCCGGGATACCCTGGAACACCTGGGACGCCAGGAATACCAGGAACGCCACCACAGCCTGGATATCCAGAAATACCAGGGAAACCGGGGGAACCGGGACATCCGGGACAACCTGAACCGCCACCATATCCCGGATACCCTGGAACACCAGGAATACCAGGGAAACCAGGACATCCGGGACAGCCTGAACCGCCACCACATCCTGGATATCCTGGAACACCTAGCACACCCGGAACACCTGTAATCCCCGGCAAACCGGGGACACCTGGAGTGCCAGGAAAACCACCACAATCTGGTCAGCCAGGAAGCCCTGGAAGTCCAGGAACACCCGGAACACCAGGAATACCTGAAAAACCATTACAGCCTGGACATCCTGGAACACCTGGAACGCCATCGCAGCCTGGATATCCTGGAACTCCGGGAACACCAGGGAAACCTGGACATCCTGGCACGCCCGGTACTCCACCACAACCTGGATACCCCGGAACTCCCGGGACGCCTGGAACTCCTGGACACCCAGGAATACCACCGCAACCTGGGCATCCAGGAACACCCGGAACTCCAGGCACACCAGGTACACCACCTCAGCCTGGCTATCCTGGTAGACCCGGGACTCCGGGAACGCCTGGTAAGCCAGGAACACCAGGAACGCCACCTAAGCCCGGTTATCCCGGATCACCCGGTACACCAGGTACCCCGCCTCATCCTGGATATCCCGGTACGCCAGGACATCCTGGAATACCACCACAACCTGGATATCCTGGAACACCCGGGCATCCTGGATATCCTGAAACGCCACCACAACCCGGATACCCCGGAACACCTGGTACACCTGGAACACCCGGGCATCCTGGATATCCTGGAACGCCACCACAGCCCGGATACCCCGGAATACCTGGAAAACCATCACAGCCTGGATATCCTGGAACACCTGGAACGCCACCGCAGCCTGGATATCCCGGAACACCTGGAACACCAGGGAAACCTGGGCATCCTGGCACGCCCGGTACTCCACCACAACCTGGATACCCCGGAACTCCCGGGACGCCTGGAACTCCTGGACACCCAGGAATACCACCGCAACCTGGGCATCCAGGAACACCCGGAACTCCAGGCACACCAGGTACACCACCTCAGCCTGGCTATCCTGGTAGACCCGGGACTCCGGGAACGCCTGGTAAGCCGGGAACAGAAGGAACGCCACCTAAGCCCGGTTATCCCGGATCACCCGGTACACCAGGTACTCCGCCTCATCCTGGATATCCCGGTACACCAGGTACTCCGCCTCATCCTGGATATCCCGGTACGCCAGGACATCCTGGAACACCACCACAACCTGGATACCCCGGAACACCTGGTACACCTGGAACACCCGGGCATCCTGGATATCCTGGAACGCCACCACAGCCCGGATACCCCGGAATACCAGGAATACCTGGAAAACCATCACAGCCTGAATATCCTGGAACACCTGGAACGCCACCGCAGCCTGGATATCCAGGAACGCCAGGAATACCAGGGAAACCTGGACATCCTGGCACGCCCGGTACTCCGCCACTACCTGGATACCCCGGAACTCCTGGACACCCAGGAACACCACCGCAACCTGGGTATCCAGGAACACCCGGAACACCCGGAACTCCCGGAACTCCAGGCACACCAGGAACGCCACCTCAGCCCGGTTATCCCGGATCACCCGGTACACCAGGTACCCCGCCACAACCTGGATATCCCGGTACGCCAGGACATCCTGGAACGCCACCACAACCCGGATACCCCGGAACACCTGGTACACCTGGAACACCCGGGCATCCTGGATATCCTGGAACGTCACCACAGCCCGGATACCCCGGAACACCAGGAATACCTGGAAAACCATCAAAGCCTGGATATCCGGGAACACCTGGAACGCCACCGCAGCCTGGATATCCAGGAATACCAGGGAAACCTGGACATCCTGGCACGCCCGGTACTCCGCCACAACCTGGATACCCCGGAACTCCCGGGACGCCTGGAACTCCTGGACACCCAGGAACACCACCGCAATCTGGGTATCCAGGAACACCCGGAACTCCCGGAACTCCAGGCACACCAGGAACGCCACCTCAGCCCGGTTATCCCGGATCACCCGGGACTCCAGGTACCCCGCCACAACCTGGATATCCCGGTACGCCAGGACATCCTGGAACACCCGGGCATCCTGGATATCCTGGAACGCCACCACAACCCGGATACCCCGGAACACCTGGTTCACCTGGAACACCCGGGCATCCTGGATATCCTGGAACGCCACCACAGCCCGGATACCCTGGAACACCTGGTACACCAGGAACACCCGGGCATCCTGGATATCCTGGCAAACCAGGACAACCTGGAACTCCTGGAGCACCCGGGACGCCAGCACAACCTGAGTACCCTGGAACACCTGGGCATCCCGGATATCCTGGTACTCCAGGACAACCCGGACATCCTGGTACTCCAGGACAACCCGGATATCCTGGAACGCCGCCACAAACAGGCTATCCTGGGATACCGGGAACTCCGTCACAACCTGGATACCCTGGCTCACCTGGAACACCAGGAAAGCCTGGTAAGCCGGGTAAACCGGACAAGCCCAGTACTCTTCCAGTTACCCCACTGCCTGGAACGCCTGAACCAAGTCCGCCATATCCACCACACCCAGGATATCCTGGGACCGATGGTACACCAGGATATCCTGGCAGCCCTGGAACATCAGGTACACCTGGCACATCCGTTAAACCTGGCAAACCCAGTCGACCTGGTAAACCTGGTAAACCTGGACATCCGTCACATCCTGGCTATCCTGGAAGTCCTGGTACGCCAGGTTCCCCTGGATATCCTGGATCTCAAGTACCAATACCACCTGGCTATCCTGGAAGTCCCGGTACACCTGGTTCACCTGGATATCCTGGAAGCCCCGGTACTCCTGGTACACCAGGATATCCTGGAACTCAAGTGCCACCACAACCTGGGCACCCTGGAATTCCAGGTAGACCGGGTTATCCTGGAAGCCCTGGACACCCTGGATATCCTGGAAGCCCTGGTACGCCAGGTACAGCGGGATACCCTGGCACACCAAGCATACCTGGTACCGCAGGAACTCCAGGCACACCGGGATACCCTGGCACACCAAACATCCCTGGAACCCCAGGAACTCCTGGCAGTCCTGGATACCCTGGCACTCCAAGCATCCCTGGAACCCCAGGAACTCCTGGCACACCTGGATACCCTGGCACTCCAAGCATCCCTGGAACCCCAGGAACTCCTGGTACACCTGGATACCCTGGCACTCCAAGCATCCCTGGAACCCCAGGAACTCCTGGCACACCTGGATACCCTGGCACTCCAAGCATCCCTGGTACTCCAGGTACTCCTGAAATACCTGGCAAACCAGGTAAACCTGGCAAGCCTGGTAAGCCTGGTAAGCCTGGCAAGCCTGGTACTCCTGGCACACCACCGATTCCACCTCAACCTGGATACCCCGGCACACCGGGTAGTCCAGGTATTCCTGGTACTCCTGGAACACCAGGAACTCCACCGATTCCACCACAACCAGGATATCCTGGTACACCATCGTACCCAGGAACTCCTGGTAAACCGGGTAAACCAGGAAAACCGGGAAAACCTGGGCACCCTGGACACCCTGGACACCCTGGACACCCTGGACACCCAAAACCAGGTATGTGAATAATATATCTTTATATCAAATTAAATTTCGCATTTCGTTTTTAAATATTATATACCGGGGCACATAGTTTTTGCAATAAATATTTCTCTATAATTCCAGGTGAACCCCAGTATCCTCCATATCCAGGATATCCTTCTGGGCCTGAAGGTCCAATTGGCGGTGTAGGTCCTGATGGTCCCAATGGCCCATGGCCCGAAGGTCCTGATGGTCCCGCAGGTCCTGGAGGACCTGGAGGTCCCGAAGGTCCTGGAGGTCCTGAAGGTCCCGAAGGTCCAGTAGGTGGAGTTGGAGGTGTAGGAGGTGTAGGAGGTGAAGGACCAGCTGGTCCAGATGGTCCATGGCCAACAGGTTCTCCCGGTCCCGATGGACCATGGCCTGGTGACCCAGACTACGTACCCGGAGTGCAACCAACGTCCGGTCACCGAAATGACGGAGTGTTCAAAGTTCAATATCCCATCAAATACTACGAACCTACCACACAAACTCCCTATCAACAACCCCATTACGGAGACTTCGGACAGAAGCAAGTAGAACGACTAACCTCTAGCTCTAAGTTCCAATCAGAGTATACCAAAAACGAGACGTACGACGGGAATTACGAGAAAAAAGTTCAGTCTACAGCCTTTGGTTATCCAGTAAAAATAAGCGGCCCCTTAAGAGACTCGCAATTCAAAGATCAGTCTGTGAGACTCGGTTACCATCCAGGTCAGGTGAATCAAAACGCGGACGAAATCAATTCTCTGCTGCAAGCTCAACGAAAAGAGTCGCGAAAATACTCCGAGCAGGAGGATCGAAGCAGCTACGAAAGAGTCCAGAAAATCATGTCTCAAAACTCCCAAGACGCCTACAACGGTGTCAGACCTCCCAGTGGTCCGAAGTACTTCGTCCAAGACAGATACCCGCAGAGTTCACGCGAGAATCGGAAATATCCCCAACAGATTACGAAAGTGAGCGAACCGGTTATTCAGATCGAGACGAACCGCGAGGATCAAGCCAATGTAAGATATCAGCCGCCAAGTGGAAGTAATGCCGCTCTCGTGAAACAGGTAAACCAATTGTCTGAGACAGCTTACAACCCGAACTCCGAGTTCACCGCTATTGGGGTACAACCTCCGAGTTCGATCGGCAACAAGCCCTATCAGCAATCCATAGGGTTAGACCCAAACACCTGTCCCTGTTACCTCGTCGAGCCTGGCAATGATACAGCCACGACGACGAGCACGACATCCATTCCCCTCATTGGTCAGCTTGGCTTCATTCCCGTGGTATTCGTACCATACTGTCCAGGTGACGACGAAACGGACAGCCAAAACATGAAAGACATGTTCCCCACTGCAATGCCTGTACCATATGCATGCGACGCGTGCGACTCTCGTACCGGGAAAATCGAAACGAAGCTTCTCAGCCTGAATCAGCTTGGCAACGTAGAGAACCTAAGGGAGGCGTTACGCCAGGCGAAACTTGGCTTTTTGAATGTTTCAGCACGTGGTCGAACACAGAGAAGGCGAGCAAAGAGCCGGAACGCCAAGTGAAGAGTGCGATTGTAACGTGCGGGTATCAAGTCGCCACTCGGTCACGAAGAATGCCTCGCGTTCGAGCCACGGGAACGGTCCGTAAATCGACGAGCATTCTTGCCCGTCCATCAGCTGCTGGACAGCTGACGGATGGCCAAACAGAGACACGATCGAAATGGAACGAAGTGAACCATCGTTCTGCGGAGGGATAACCATAATCTGCGCGTTCCTCTGAACGGAAGGTAACGCGGGTGAAATGTTTAATGGGGTTCCTTTTTTTTTTTTTTTTTTGGTAGGACGATTTGACTATGGTTATCCAGAGGCAGGGTTTCAAATCATTCTTCTTCCTCGTCTTCATTCTATTTTCCCTGCTTTAACTTCACATAGGAAATCGTAAAAGATAATTTACGACAGGTAGAATCCGGAGATATCGTAAAGATTTTCATAGTTACAGCAGAAGATCAAAGTTGAGATCGGTGACTTTATCTTTGCTGCGATGTTCTGCTGAAATTTTCAAGTATCTCGCGGCAAAATGGTACTACTGTGTTTCTCGTAACGTTGCGAGATTTGTAAATTTTATATTTCATAAAAATGAAGATACGAAACTGTGGTAGAAATTGTCGAAGTTAACGCAGGGAAGAAGGATTCTACTTCCAGAAAACTGTTCTTTGTCATTCTCATCGGGATCATTTACTTAAAGCAGTCTTCTCGTAGGGGTATCGTAAAGAAATTTGGAAGGTTTCCGTAGCTCTTTTTCTACGTAGCTATAATGATGCAGCAAGCAACAAAAAAAAAATAAAGTGTTTAGTCCGTTATGTCGCTATTATCAGCTGGTATTTAATTTCAAGAATACTATTTCGTTTCGCACGATGTAAAAATAAAGGCACAAAGGGAAAGTGTACGTTTCTCATGGTTCGACTTGAAACTTCTTTTCGGCAGCTAATTTATGTATGAAACATCGCGAGAAATGAGATCATCCGTTGAATTCTCTCGTCTAACGTATGCTTGATGTTAAATATTAATCGTGCAAGTGCTAATACGTATTATAATTCTCATTGAGCACGTACAGAATAATCGTCACCTTTTTTAGGAAACTTCAAATATCTCGCTCTTTCGAAAATCTAGGGTTTAAGGTATGCACAAGAAGAACGTAAGGTTGAAAGCTCATTAAAATATCTAAAATTCGCCGTTAACTGTACATGCTCGATACGTGTTTTTTTTTTTTTTAACAGAATAATTATATTTGTACATTGGATACAAGATGCGTAATATGTATCTTTCCCCTTAGCATAGAGATCGACGAAATTTCCAATAAATTATATACATAATTGTACATATTAATATTGCGTTCATTCAATGTTCCTTTATAAGTACGAATCATGTATTTTTATTAAATAAAACTAATCACGAAACATCATACAAAAAAAAAGAACCTATTCTCCATCTTTCAACGGTAACCTCCAATTTCCTCTATCTATAAAAAGATCAATTAAAAAACAGACACATAGCCAAATAAATCCCTAAAGGTTCATCAGCTAAACTGTCTTTATTATTACCAAAACAATACGTATGTACATTAAACGAAGTATTAATAACAATACAAAATTACAATCTATCGACGTTAATGCAGATTAATAACGAACATCGATGAATGTGTCAAACGCCACATACACAGTTAAACCAGTATTGGCAAATACTGCTGCAATGCTTCGTCACATTCGAGTTTCTTCGTCAAAACGACAAAAAGGTATTGTAACACAGATTTACAATAACCTTCGTTCGATGTTACTTTAAGAGTAACCTCTGTATCCGGACGGATAACCAGTATAGCTTCCGTAACTGTTGCTACGATAAGCGTAAGGATCATAGTTGCTTTTCGCAGCATACGATGTTCCATAATTCGATCCTCCATATCCGTTGTATCCTCCTCCATACCCATAACCATCTAATCCACCGTAACGTCCATAACCACCACGTCCGCCGTTCCCATAGTACGCGTCCTCGTAGATGCCAGAACCGTATCCGCTACCATAAGCGCTACCATATCCGTTAACATAGCCACCAGAGGTACTTAGTCCTGTTCCGTAACCACTGTATCCACCGTAACCCCCGTATCCACCGTTAGCACCGTATCCATAGCCTCCATAGCCACCGTAATTCGGATTGTATCCAGAACTTCCGTAATAGCCGTACCTGAGATCAAAGGGTTGTCGAAGTTCTAGATGGTGTTTCGAGAAAGTGTCAGTGTTAGGTGTTATTCGAATCAATTTTTAATCGTTCATTCGTGACGAGACGCAGGTATCAGTGTTACTATGCAACGAGTTATGGAATCGTGGCAATTATAGTCCATGAGAGGAATATAGCGAAGTCGTAAGTTACAAGGGTGCAAGAATTAGAAATCTAAGAGAAGGGCTCGAAATTTTAGAGAGAGACGCGTGAAATGTGTCTTATCTTATCTGTGACCAACCTCGCTATATATTTCTTCCATCGACTGTCACATTAGCCATCTTCTCATCTCTGTATAGTACGTACCGTATTAAAAAGTGAATTCTACCGAGGTTAGGAAAGAAATTGAGATAAATTTGAACAAATAAAGAATGTCATTCTTCGAACACTTTTCCTCGAAGATAAAACTTTCAGATTGTTACATTCATTTATACGGAAAGTAACAAATTTCATTTGAACGCCTCCTGCGAATTCACGTTCTCTCGAACCGCATCCGCGATTCAGTACCACGTTCATATACCCATTTATTCCCATTTGAAAGTGTGCAACGTTTTGAAAAGTCAGACGGTGATCGCGTGATACGTTTATAGTACCAGTCCATTATTCCAGTTTGAATTGTGCGAGAACCTCACCCTATATTGCCGCCCCCGATAATTCCGCCTGGACCACCCACTACATAGCCTTTATAGCTTGGATTTAGGTATCCCGGGCTCAAGCCAGTTCCGCGATACGCTGTAGTACCAGGATAAATCGAACTGCCAAGATAACTTCCATACGGTACGCCTCCGCCGTATCCACCGGGCTGGCCATAGTCTTTGCTAATGTGGAACGCTGGAATCAAGGAAACTTTTAAGAAAATCGACATTTTCAAAGTGCATCGCTCTCGATCACTGTTGGATTTCTCGATCTTCTCTTGTCTTAAGAATATCACATCTTTTTTATCCTCTTTCAATGCTCACTTTTTTCCAATTAAATTATTCACACGTGATTCACTTACTCTGTTATTACGAAAGGCTAAAAACTACTGATTCCTAACGATCTGATGATTTATACGAAAAGCATGACTATACAAACACCTAGAAGGTTGAAGTTAATTATTCTCGAGAAATTCTTCGAAACGATAACGAGCAGTCTACAGCTTTTTTTTCTCCCATGTATCGCGTTCAAGACTGTCGAGGAGTTGGAAAAGGGTGCCGCAAAGTTTACGAGGTTCACATGACAAGTGTGAGACTAAGAAGATTGGAAACTTGTTGCGAACTTTGCCAACTTCTAGAATTCTTCTAGTAAACCGTGGCTTCTGTATTTACCATATAACAGTTACAACAAGAATTTAAACAACTACGATCGAATACCTACTTCAAATACGACAAAAAGAAGGAACGAAAAGAAAGTTCAGATATTTCTCTCGAGTGTTCGAAGAAGAAATACCGTTGTATGTATTGAAACAGAAAGAGACTTTTCTACCGCAAAGAAGTAACACGATTGAAGAAGATTGCTTTACACTTCGCGGTGTGTACAGAAGAATAGGTAATCAGTTCAACCTTGGGGCGAGTGCTGGTGAATGGTAAAACGCTTTTTCGCACATACACACGTCCTCCATCCATTAGTCCCATGGTGGCGGAAATGACGCGGTGTTGAACGATGCGTTCATGAATCATCGGTTTACCGCCTATAATGTCTACGGGAGAGAAAATCCACGAATTAAATCACGCTTAAATTCAATTAGCCACGATTGATAAAATTACCGGTGTCACGAGAACAGAATGGCGTGAGCGCGGTGATTTATGAGTACAAGGGTATCGCGCGTAATTATTGATAAAACAATTGGCTAGAGGTTTTCGAGGTAACGATAAATCTTGTAACAGGACTACTTGTCCGTTCCATCGTGTGCACATCTTTCTGTTCGTTGTGAAATACGTTTGTATGTAAATAAACGAGATTGAAATTGATCAACCTTTCTGCAAACTAATATTTACCACGCAATTCTTGTTACGCTTTTCCGTATACATTGTGTGTGTGTGTGTGTTTTTTTAAACAAACAATACTCTACAAACACACCTGGAACGCATTTTACCCTCTGGTTGCGCACCGTGCGAAAACAAAGCGTTTAAAAATGGATTTTCACGCACAGCATTTTCACGCTGCATAGCGCGGTATATTGAAAAAAAGAAGTACTGAAAATATTCGTACGGGATACGCATGATTTTCGTGAAATTTCCTGCGAACTAATTAGTGTGCCATTTTGCAACCACGTTGAAATAAGTAAAACGTGTTTAAAAAACCCGTGTAAATATTAATCGTGTAATAACAATATCCAGGTATACTCTAAAAACTAGGAAAAAAGTATTTCTGAAAAATGTTACTCCTGAATTACGATACGCCGGTTGGAAATATAAAATAAACGATAAGGATTAGGTTAAGAATAGGTTAAGAAGACGATAAGAATTATAAGGATAAAATAAACGATTCTCCGGTGAATCATAAATTGAATCGAGAAAAATACAGACGGGGAATCGTTACAGTATCTCAATAACAGAGAATACAGCCGCGCCACTCATGCAAATTCTGTTGCAGCGTTACGTGAGTCATTATATCAATGATCTAATGCAGAACACCGACGTCGGCACGAGTGGTCATTAGAAAAGACGCCGCCGATTGTCGAAGGACCTTCAGGTAGTCTCGTCGCATTAGCATGTTATTATATCGAATGTCACTTTTTTACAATGAAATCCGTTTGAAGTGCTCGATCGTGGGAACGGTAGTGACACACTTATTTAATACATTGAAAAGGTTGGATAACGATCGATTATGCCTATAGAAACAGCCGTAATCTTGCTCGCGGACAACCGCGTCCACTAGAATCCCGCAATTATCCAGTTATACGAGTATAGTTATACGAGTAATGCACTAAATAAAACGCTTCGAACTTCGTTTATCCTATTTTTCTCTCGTCTTACAATTACCTTGATCCGGGCAATGAAACGATAAGATAAAAATAGTATTCCGCGTTCGATCGTTTTTCGAATACCAATTACTCTTCGTGTTTCTCTTAAATATACACATTAAGATTGCGTGTTTCGCGTTTCGATGTAAAAAATAACGCGGTTAAATTGAAATAGAAATTTTCCAATAAGAAAGAAATTTGTGATAAAAGAATGTACTGTGAAAATTTTTAAAATAATTTTCTAATATTTAAGAAAATGTTATTTCTAAATTACGATATTCTGGTGCAAATACAGAACAATGAAACGTCTTTCGGTGATAGAAATGTACTTACTCCTATCGCTGGCAGCCGCGGTTAAATCTTTCACGCTGTCCTCATAGGATGGGCTGTTTACAGGCGTTAATTTGGTAGTTAGCTTCGGTTCGGATGGTACGATAGCACCGCTGCCGAGTACAGTTAGGCAAGCAAATGTTAATACCTGAAACTGAGAATTGGATATGGGCCGATGCGACAATTCTATGCAATAATCGCGAAACTGTGCCACGGATATCGAAAATAGATCACGCCGATCTGTTTCAACGTGACAATTAACGATCCATTTATGCATTATCGGCATAAATGTATGTATAATTTACATTAAATGGAGCAGTTTAACATTCATAATAATACGGTGTATTTAGTATTTTTACATTTTTTTTTTATTACGAAATATTCGACGTACTCTTTGTTTCACGAGTAAAATTGAAGAAAAGAATACGTCTTTCGTAACGAACTTTACTGTTCTCATGAAATTACGATTAAATTTACTGTGACACAGTTATCGACCACGTCGACAGATAAATTAGTGGCGATTGTATTGTCATTACGAGTTATTAGTGTCAATCTATGTTACGTGAATACGCGCGAGCGTAATAACAAGATTTCCTAAGAATTTAAGGAGTATTCTAACAGAAACAACTTGATCTGAGGGAATTTGTCAACGTACATCATCGAAATATCGGGAAAATTTGAATGGTTCGCGACATGTTCCATTAGACGTTACTTTTTCGAGAGTGAAACGTGCAGTATTACTGATCACAGATATTATCAGCAGAAATGTGAAAAAGAGAGATATTTGAAAAATTAAATCTGTGATTTATATCGTAATATTTATATAAATTTTTAATATCTCTTTTTTGACATACTGTTTTTTTCTAAGATTGGTAAACAATAATAAAAGGCGCAGAAAGTTTTAAAGAACTTTCACTTTTCCTTCCATTAATTACAAATATTGGCAGGGAACAATGGTAAGTTAAGAAAAAGATCAATATCGCCTTCTTTGGGTTATGCACACCGTACTTTGTGTGATAAAGATAAACAGCGATTTTGAACACGAAGCTTCATGTTGTGTTAATTATAAAATAAATGAAATACTTCACTAATTTTCTTTTACTTTTATCGAACATATATTTTTTCATATTCATCAGTATTCACTTAAGAAATTCGTAATATTTTGGCCTTTTAGAAAGTGACGACTGAATGTGCGAGTACTTGCTTTCCAAGAATTACCATAATTGCCATTTTTATGGTATTTTTCGTTTGAACTTTTTCTGCAATCTGTGATTGAAAGTAAAAAAGAAATAGGAGAAACGAAACAAAATGAATAAAAAGGCAGAAGTTTTCTCATAAAACAGTTTTCCACATTTCGTGAAAAGTAGGTTGTTAACAGTTTGTTCAGGGGTGCAGTATATAGTTGCAGATTTTTCGTACACAGTTTCGCAACAACATTCCGGCAAAATCAAACAGTTCGTTTGAAAACTCGTCAGACCCTTCCATGAAATCGACAAATAACTTCTACAAAATATAGATTCCGTTCGAAAGGAAAATATAGAGCACGGAGATCTAATTCACAATGTGTTTACATTGATTAACTCATATTTTCCACCAGAGATATCAGTATCAATCTTAAAAATATTATTCCCAATGTTTTCCATTTCAATTGTGAAAGAAAAAGACAAACTATATCTGGGTAGGTTTGGGTACAGTCCATAATATTTCCCCTGCATCGAATAATATACGAAGAACTAAATTTACTTTTAAAAATAAACCGAATCCCTTATCATTTATACACATTCTATCCCAGATAAACAGAAAGCAACCTCCAACTAAAAATTTACCATACCTCCCACAGGTAATAAAATATCAATTTAAAAATTCTAACTAAAATTAAAATTATTACACCCAACTTTTTCCATTTAAATTGTGAATGAAAAGACCATATCTACCCCTAAACCATAATTTCTCCACTGGATTGACCAATACATCAAACACAAGATTTACTTTTAAAAATAAAACCAGTTCTCTATCGTTTACACACATCCAGTTCCATTAAACAGGAATCAACCTTCGAACTGAAAATTTAATTGGAAAAAAATTAGGAGAAACTTGCAGCACCCAATACTTACGATGAAGAAAGCGTCTCTCATTTTTACTCTGGTCGATTAAGCGAAATTCAATGTTATTTTACACGAAAACACCCGCTTTGATGGGACTTGAAGGTGTTCTGTTCGAGCGACACCGCTTCAAACCTCTATATACGCTTGATTCACGTGCCCCTCCTCGTCTTCCTGGCCAGGTCTTGGTTTGTTTAAGCTTGAGACTTACTCAGGAGACGACGTTAACAAGGCCATCGAAGAGAATCGGCCGGCATTCTGCGTGACACGCCTGCAAGCGGCCGGGCTCGTGCGGCCCATGGGAAACTACGTTTCCGGAAACGTGTGTGCACACACAAGTGGTACACCGGCAACATCCAGCTGTAATCCTTCGATTTCGGCTGCGTCATACCGCGAGGAGGACGATTCACCTCAAGTAGTTCAAGATCGATGAAAACTGGCCGACAAGATGGCCACCGGAGAGTCTTCCATGACACGAGGGAAGCTTGACGACTCGTTAATAATACCGTTTCGTGCTTAATATCAGGTCGAGGCTGATCGAGAACTAGAAGGATCGTTTGGATTGCACGGCAGATGATAAATCTTGCTAATTTATTACAACGCCTTAAAGTTGATATTTTATTAATTATTCTCGGAGCTGTGCGAAAGTTTGGACGTTCTAATTTTTGGTTAGGGAGAAAAAAAGGAATATGGAAAAGCCCGAAGAACTATAATTTACAATATGTTAATTTAGAGTTTTTAATGTTTGAATTAATCGCTTTTTCAGATGTTTCAATTTAACTTTATGATCTGCAGCGTATTCTTTTTGTGAATCTCAGTTTTCTCTTCTCGTTTGAATAGATCAGTGTACCAATCTCTGATACATTGTAGATTTGATTACTATTATTGATCTGTACATGTATCTATGTAAGATCTATTAATTCCTGAATCATTTAATCGATCTCAAGCAAACTTTGCATAATTGAAAAAAGCTACCGTGAAACCTGGACAATTCACTCTCTCCCCCTGACACTTTGCAATGATTTAAATTTAATGTATTATTATATAAACAAGCTATGAATAATGTACTACACGGAAGTAAACATTGCGTAATAATTAGCAAAGGTGCCATATAATTTCACAATTATGCTGAATTTAACAATGCAAAATTTTACAAGCCGTTTACATATGAGAAATAAAAGCGCAAGTGTTCCTCTTTCAGCTGTTGAATAATTAACATTCGAGACAGTAGCTACAAATGTTAATACAGTTACAATCCCTGACTGTTCGATTAACGATTCTAAGAGAAACTACATTAACACGATCGTGTTCAAACATTTCAAACGCGATGGTGTTCATTACTATCCCGGGAAAACTAGCAAAATTAGTTTTTGCTGGCTGGAAATAACAGCTCGCGAAATTCACTAATTAAACATCAATTCTCCAGTAGATATCGAGATATCGGACAGGTGAAAAGAAAATATCCACCGCGCGACAAGGATCATTTGTTGGAAACCCACGGGTATCGAATAGTACACGGTTGTACTTTAACTAAGGCCATTTGTTTCCATACAGCTATAGCAATTAAGTTTCAGAGACTATTTGGAAAAAAAACTAAAAGTAACGCGTTCTTGAATGTGTCATTTATTTTCGATTTTTCGAGTGTATATACAGAGTGTCTCTGAATTGAAGTCGAAAATAAGTGGACAATTTAAAGTGTCATCTTTCTCATACAAAGTTTCGTTTCTGAATAAATCGATATTGAATTTTCGTGGAGAACTTGTGCACTCGCATTTCTACCAACGTTTTCTAGACAGACTATTTCCTGTTTTCAAATATTCCAATGCAAGAATAATTTCCTCTTTAAGCTGTTCCCCTAGTGGTATTCTCGTCGTTGTGCACGCGAGAATTAATGTGGTTCCATAAGTGAAAATTCATTGGTGTCCAATTCAGGAATCACGTTGACCAAGTTATTTTACTATCACGATCGATTCTATATACTTGGAATATTTTATGAGATCACCTTAACTCCTTCTGTCCACTCTTTCTCACTCTAATTCGATATTTTACCAAAGTTTCACAGTAAAATAAAATGTTCTGGAAATTCTATTCGTAGAAAATGCTACCAAAAACATTTGTCCGACGTCACAAAGCCCTTAGCCGTAGGGTGAATAAGTTGATCTCACGAATTTGAACTTTCCTTTGGAAAAGGTAGTGCACCTTGACAAACTTATTTTAGAAAAATCTGAAAAACACTGGTCACCGCGTTGACCTCTTTGTAAATCATACCTAAGACAGTCCAACACACTTCCAATAAATCTGTCGTCCGCCAAACGTGATTTACGAATAACCCGAGGGACGTAAACGAAGAAAAGGAGAAAGAAATAGAAGGAAAAGCAAAATAAAGGGGGAAAAAATAGAACGACTAAGAAAACAAGAGAAACGTGGGGCAGCGAGAGGGAAAAAGTTCGCGTGAGATGTGGAAGGGACACTTTTATTTCTTTCCTCTGGAATTCCTCCCTCTAAATGGAATTCCCTTGCATGCATCTCATTTCACCAAACAGGTGCAGGTTTCAGCTAAATAGATAAATCCTTAAAGACGTCCAATCGGGAATCCGATTACGGTTCGGTATTTCTTCATTCAAATGGCAAAGGGAGGAAAATATTTCACGTCACGAGTCAAGAACGTTGCTGCGTGACCGAGATTCAATGGCTTAGGAGAAAGAAGTACGATGCAAGAAACCACGAAGCCGGGATATTTTTTATTTGCCGTTTATCTGTACAGTGAAATTCACTTTGCTCCGATAAATGGTTTCGTCAGAGAAGAATACGTGATGATCTTTTCCGCGATACATGCTACGGTGTTTAATTTGAACGATGTATTTTCCTTACAGATATAATATATCCGAAGGTTGATTAAATTCAATCACTATACCCTGCACCTTTTATTCACCTTTATCGTTGCGCATCGTGCAACTAATTCGCGACTGCGTTCGATAGAATTTTTACAATATCTCTCGACGATTTGTTCGTTTCCGGCTGGGGAAACATTACCATTTTTTGTTCTTTGCGAAGTTTAATTAACTATGCTGAAATTTATATGAAGTTTCACGATTGAAACGATCTACAGAAGTTCTCTCTCACTTAAAAACTACTCGATACGAACTTACATCATTATTCACGTTATTACTCTTTATCATAATAGCACACGTATCGTGGACATTATGGTAATATCCCATCCAACGTTTGGAGCAGCTGCAGGAAAGTGAAATGGCCCCTATAAGACATAAAAGTTCTGATCGTTCAGCTAAAAGTTACAGAGAAGCGTAATGCGGTTCTGGGGTTCTGCTAGTTTGCAGCAGTCGTGGAATACATTCGTTGCTGAAATCCCCTCCTTTTTCGAAGAATCGATCATCTTATTTGAAGGGATATCCTTTTAAAATTCCAACGATGATCTTGCACTCGTGAAACGCGAAATTTCATTCCTTCGCCTTTCAGAGAAGAAGAGAACGTAACGTGCATAACAAGTGCACGCTTTTTACGTAATTCGCGGTATAAAAATCGAGACATAAAGGAGATCGTACGAATGATTAATGATGTGAAAACGATTTCGATACATGTTGCGTTTCTGTTTTTTTTTTTGCTTCTGTGAAAATTCTTCAAGCGAAGAAAATAAAATGTATCGGTTAGAAGAAAGAGAGAAAGATAACTATAAATTTTTCCCAGTCGATCGCTCACTTTCTATACGATAAAATGCTGCTCTTTGGCCGATACCGATAACACTCGACCTACAATTCTTCTCTAAACAAAGACACTGTTACAAGAGTCCACAAAAGAGGATGTGTTGCAACACGAGGTTTGAAGTGTCAGGACACACCCTGAATGAATACACTGGTCACAATACTATTCACGCTTGTAAATACTCCTGACACGGTATTGCGTGCGTGTGCAATTTGTGGATGGACATGGAGACAAACGACGTGACACGTATATGAATATGTATGAAACCGGAGTGGCTGAACTGTGTTATTGTTTGACAACACGGTTGCGACATCTTCTCAAAATTTCGACCATATTTAGCTATTCTTTGTCATCCCCTGACAATCAATGGTAAATGTTAATTTCTTTTTCTTTATCGAGGGACATTAGGATACAAAAAGACACCGTAGCAGGGAATGGCCAACTTTGGATCTTACTATTAACGTGAAATTTTTAGAAATCATGTATCTAAAAATTCTAAAGCTGCAGAAGCTAAGTACAGTAAATTCTCTACAAGAGTCAGTAAGTTTGGATTCTACAAGTGACAGTACAGATGGTTCTACGCCTAGGTCTGCGTCCATGTCATCTCGCTTGCAGTCAGTCAAGCGTGTAACGCTACACCAGTCGATTTCCTTTACGAGATTTCACGGCTCCACAAATTATAATAGAAAAATATAATTTCTTTAATTTTACTTTTTTTCATTTGGAATTTTTTTTTAACGTGTTGGTGAGATTTTTCTGATGAAAATGATATCAAACACGATATAATTTGAACAACATTTACTTATTAACACGTTCACTGTCGCGCCAGATTTACAGGTTGATGTCAGGCGGCCACAAGAAAATACATTTTAAGCATAGAATTATAGTATTATGCTTTATAATTTTTTTTTCAATTGAAAATAATGTCTAGCTAGCTATGACGTTCAAAATTTTTAGTTGACAACATTTATTTTATTTTAATTATTCTAAACATTTCAGGCACTCCAGTCACTGATGACCACCATGGCCATATCGAGGAAACAATCTAATGTTAATACTTATTGAGTGATTAATTTAATTTCATAATATATCGCTTTGGATAAATTACCAAAACAAATTGCTAAGAAATTACATTAAATACCAGTACACATTATCCGTCGAATGTAGAGGGAGAGCCACCGTTTGGTTGCCAATTGTTCATCACATAGAGTCGGCCTACCTCCACGTAAAAAAAAAAAAAAAGTAGGGTCGATTCCACAAGAGTCAGTAAAATGTTGGGTCGATAGCAGCAGAAAAGCTGCTAAACAATTAGAATTAAATGTAACGATAGAAATTATTGCAATAATGCGTAATGCAATTGAAGAATTGAAAGAATCAAAA